GTAACTGAGAGCACTTACATGTAAAACTAAGTTATACGCGTCCATGCCTTCAGCAATAATCCTTGCTTACAGTATGTTGAGGTCCGCTGAGAGCTTTCTTCATTACACATTGCCAAAGGAGTAAATCAGAGGCCTGGGGCATAGAAAGCTAATGAAGAATGAATCCCTGAAGTGCAGTCCACACACATTTATAAACTTCAATAAAGTCAAATTTTGCTAGTGTTACTCACATATCTGTTGTGCCTGCTTGAATGGAGAAAATACCTTGGTTTGGTTTATTATTCTGTATGTATACATTTAAATCTGCATATTTCCATAAGGATTTTAGTATAGCTAAATCTGCCGTTACAATGTGTGCCTGAAGGGCTCTGCAGACCTGTTCTGTTAAACTACCTGTGCAAGGCTGCTTTAAATGGTTGTAATTATGTGTGTAACTTGTAAAGCAGAAACACCTCGTGGGAGCCCTTCTATTCCACTAACTTCAGGTTTCATTTTTTAAAAAGCTTCATAATGATGGATTAAATGGACAGAGATGTTCTGGTCTCCTGGACGCAATCATTTGTGTTATAAATTTTGCAATTTCAGGACAGATTGGATGGGTTCCTATAAATATTTGGTTAAAAAAAAAAAAGCCTGTGTCATTTTCATTTAACTGGTTGGAATCCATCTTCCTGGAGCTTCCTGAGCCTGACCCTGCAAAGTTGACTTACCTAAATAATTCCATTAAGGTCAGGGGACTTCTGTATAGATAGATTCATAGATTCTTAGGGGCTGGAAGGGACCTTGTACATCATCAGGTCCAGTCCCCCTGCACAAGGCAGAAAAAGACAACTGGGGTCAGGTGACCCAGCAAGGTGACTGTCTAGTCTCGTTTTGAAGATTTCCAGGGTAGGTGACTGCACCACCCCTGGAGGGAGTTTATTCCACAGTCTGGACACCGTAGAGCTACTAGGAGTAGCAGACCCAGAAAGGGCTTGCTCTAGGAAGTTGCAATACCTGTAACTTGAGAAAGGGAACTGCCTCTTAGGGACCTAACTTCATTTTTATAACTTGATTCCCCAGGTCTCTGACTGTCCCACTGTTTTTAGGGAACCTTCTGAACTTGAGTTAACCAAGATGCTCCAACAATGAATAAGTATTGCTTTTTGTTTTGACAATACAAATTCAGGACAAAAAATGAACACCTTAAATCAACCCCAAGTTGTGAACTCTTGTGTTTAAGCGAGCAGAATAACACTGATTTTTTTTTCTTGTTGTGACTGTATGTACTGCTTTTCTGCCCATGCATGTGTTGTTTTTGACTTAGATGCAGGGAGGCTTTTAAGCCAAGTAAGATAAAATCACTGAAAGTGTTAACCCCTAGCTATTTTTTTGGATTTCGTTAAATGTTTTCACTTTGTCGTAGCATATGATAGAGAGGCCTCTTGCATACAAAAGGTTATGCATTTCTGATTCAGATAGTTTATAACTTGCACCTCTACCATGCCTTCTGCCTGATTTCAAATTAACATGGCTAACTACCTCTCTCTGCCTTTAACTAATCCCTGTGAATCCCCCTCGGGATAGGAGGACTAAAGCAGCAAACAGCAGACTGAATCTGTACAATCCAGATCCTAATTACAGTGGAGTGATCCTTGCTGGTTCTTTACTTTCCATCCTTCAACTCAATGTTGAGGGGCTGTCAACTGCAAAAATTACATAGCAATGAGAGAACCCTGTGCTTGTCCTAAAGTCTTCAA